TGTACCATTATTAACCACTGTACTTTAAAATTTTGGGTTTTTTTCTTTCTTCTTTTTTCCTTTATCTATGAATAAAATGGTTTTTAAAAAAACAACATGATCTGGTCGTAGGTCAGACACTTGATACACTACTACAAGTATTCTGTGCATTGCTTAAAATAACATAAACCAGGGTTCAACTTCTAACCATAATCACTAGCTATGTGGCCTTTTAGACAACTCAGTAAAATTCTTCTAGTCTTATGCCTCAGTGGCCCCTCCCTTCTTTCTCATCATCTAAATATTAATGATGTGGTATAAAATTATTCTGCATCTTTTATTATTTTCCAATAGTTTAACAAACATATTTTAAGGACAATAGCCTATAAAGCCTTAAATTTTTTGTTCCTTACATGCTTTTTACTCCAAGACATTGAACTTGTTCCTTCTTCCAAGTGTGCTCTTTCCTCTGGGAGCAGCATTTCTCAACTTGCTTTATGCGTCTATTTACAAGTCACATTTTCAGTAGATTTCCATTACTATAATCTTTGTCCTCCAAAACTTCATCTTCCTCTTTGCTTGACTTCTTGTTTTCCTTGTCATGTATTAATTTCTTTTTTCTTTTTTTTTTTTTTTAAAAAGGACTGGAGAGCGCCCACGGGTCTCGAATCACCGGATCCGGGTGGTTGGGAAGCCAGACTCGAAGGAACCGCTCGGCTAAAGCCAGCCCTCCTTGTAATGCATTATTTTCTAACATACAATATAGCCACTTAGTATGTTTACTGTCTTAGTATGCTTATAGATAAAGGGGAGTTCCAAGAGAACAAGTATTTGTCTGTTTTATTCATGGCTGTGTCACCAGCCTCTTGAATGGTACCTGGAATACAGTAGATGGTTCAAAACATATCTATAGGGGGCTGGGGATTTAGCTCAGCGGCATAAGCACCTGCCTTGCAAGCAGGCAGTTATGAGTTCAATTCCTGGTACCAGTAAAAAGGAAAGACAAAAAAAAAAAAAAAAAATCTATGGGAGTGTGGGGTAATCACACTTTAACTATACGGTAAAGAGAACTGTGGCCTGGCCAGGGCTAATAAACAACACCATCTACTCTTCTGATCAGAGAAAAACACACTTGACCTTCTACCTCGAGGAAGAAAGAAGTTACAGGTATTTGAGTGGTGGAAATTTACAGGAGGTAAAAAGTCACCTCAGTAGGGCTAGGGATTTAGCTCAGCAGCATAAGCTCCTGCTTTGTAAGCATGTGGTCATGAATTCAACCCCTGGTACCAGTAAAAAAAAATTTTTTTTTAAAAGTCACCTCAGTTAACAATATAAAGCTTTCTTTTACTACTAATATTAAACCATCTTGTGTTACTACACTATCTTGTTTTTGAATCTAGCTTTGACTTCTATAAAAATAATCTTGCAGGGTTGAAAATGAGGTTCAGAGGCAGAAATGAGCTTAGAGTGAGCATGGCTCTGGGGTAGAGAACTACCCACACACCCCCATAAAAAAAGCTCTATGGTCTTCATAGTTTTAATTATCAAATAATTATTTATTGAGTATATGAAAGCTGCAGAAGCTAGGTACAGTGGTGCAGGCCTATAATCCCCCTACTTGGGAGGCTGAGGCAGGAGATCACTACAAGTTTGAGGCTAGCCTGAGCCACAAACTGGAATTCAAGTCCAGTCTGTAATGAGACCCTGTTTCAAAAAACAAAACAAAATAGGAAAAAAAAAAAGACTGCAAAATTCTGCAGAGGGACCCTTAACATGAATCACAACTCTCCATATCACTGATAGAGATTCTCAGAAGATGCCAGGGATTTAGTTCAGTGGCATAAGCACCTGCCTGGCAAGCGTAAGGTCATGAGTTGAGTCCCTAGTACCAAAAAAAAAAAAAAAAAAAAAAGACTAGAAATTCATCTGTAAATATAATCAGCCAACATGTGACAAACTCAAAGATAACCACTTTTGTATGGGATGAAGAGGACCAAGCAGATCAGATAGCATTTAAAAAGCAAGAGCCAAAAAAGAAAAACAAGGGGCTGGGTATTTAGCTCAGTGGCATAAGCACCTGCCTTGCAAGCATGCAGTCATGAGTTCAATCCCTAGTACCAAAAAAAAAGGAAGAAAAAGAAAAAAGCAAGAGGCTGGTAGGAGATGTAGTACAGTGGCCGAACTATTTGCGTATGTGAGCCCCTGAGGTTCCATCTCAAACACCATTAAGAAAATAAAAACAGGGGCTGGGGGTTTAGCTCAGCAGCATAAGCGCCTTCCTCTGGTACCGATAAAAACGAAAAAGACAAAGAAAAGAAAAGAAAAACAAATACTAGAGCCAAGCATTACTGCATTCCTTCCCAGGCACCTTGGGTCACACAGGATGTGAAAGACTCAATGTTAGACATTAGGTTATACGCCAGGAAAAGGATAGCAAGCCCAAGGATAGCCCTGGCAACATAACAAGACCTTATCTCAAAATTTAAAAAAAAGTTAAAATGTTCAAATGGGAAGGGAAACAAGGGGTGGGGGAAGGAAGAAAAGAATATAAAAAAGAGGGGGGAGGACGACACAAAGCTTTTGTAAATGAGGGGAATGGGGGTTGAAGGGAGAGGAGGGGAATGGGGAAAAAGAAGTAGCAAGATATGTACCAGCACAAATTGTCTTCAATGAATGTTATCATCAATATATACCTAAAATGTACCAACAAAAAAGATGAAGAAAAGGGCTGGAGATGCATCTTAGTGCAAGGCCCTGGGTTTGATTACAAGTACTGCCAAGAAAAAGGAAAAAAAAAAGATAAATAGAAAAACCATCAAATTCTAAACTCCTTGAGGACTGAAACCAGATTGGCTCATGACCTGCCCAAGCAACAATGAAAATAGGAAGAAGCCAAGGGTGGTGGCACAGCCTGTAATCCCAGCACTAGGGAGGCTGAGGTAGAAGGATCTCAGCAAGTTCATGGCCAGCCGGGGACTACACAGCAAGACCTGATCTGAAAAGAAAAAAGTAGGAAAGAAAACAATTCTGATCTTCAGACAGAGATCTATGCAAGGTCCCAGCCAGTTCCAGTTTTTAGTTTTGAAGTAGGCCTGGTGAGAAGCCTTAGCCTATTTACTCCTTGCCTGCTTTCTCTGAACCTCAAAATCTGGGCACAAGCCGTTGGCCAAGCTATTATCCACTTACTTTGCTAAAAGGCTGGCCTTGCTCCCTGCCAGAGTTTCACCACAGTGGTGAAATAACTGCACCTGGAGTCAGAAAATCTGAGTATAAACCCTGCCGACATCACTTACTAGCTGTGTGGCTCTCAAATTACTTGACCTTTCTATGCCCTCTTTGTAAAATAGGGATAATGACAACACCCTTATAAGGTTTGAGTCATTCAAAGAGATAAAATGCAGGATGCGAGACTTGCCCAGAGCCTGACCACAGAAGCCCTCAATAAATGTTAACTGTTATTATTTCCAGAGGGGAGGAAACGCCCCCAAGGCTGAAGAACATATGCAAAAAGGTTACCATAAAATGGGGAAGTCGAACATTGTTCTCCTGACTCATGAACACTATCGGTAATAGTACTAATAATACAAATAAAACCAAGATGAAACCATAAATCTGAGTGTCTCCTGGGAGGCTGACCATAGCAAATAAGGGGGACTTTCTTCTACCATCTTTTTGAAGGCAAGTATTTTTGTTACTGTTTTGCTCTTTTCTGATTAATGGTACTGCTCTATTCAATATTCTGTTTTGATAAGTTCTATAGTGTTCTATATTTCATCTCAATTTGATATACGTGATTGAAAGAACAACTATTATAAAGATAACAAAATCTACTGTGATACCTATTACTGTTATCCCGGTAACCTGCTGTTAAGTTCTGTACCAATTTCACTGTACGATCTTAATTAGCTTTATTCTGTCTTGTTCTGTTGTATACTTTCAAAATAAAATAAAATAAATAAAACCAAGATGACCATAAAAACAGTAGCAGGTACAGCAAGATACTTACAGCGCTCTAACCAGCCAGCCAGTCCTAACCTAAAAGAGGAAGAAGTCAATGCTGCTGAATCACACGCGCGCGCGCGCAAACACAAACACAAACACACACATTGAAAAAAAATTACAGAATCTTCCCCACCTCCTTTTGGAAAACAGTAATCGGTGCCAAAGTTTTTGCTAAAAACGGGAATTTACACCGAATGGAGACTTAACGTGTAATTTCTTCAGACCAAAGAGGTGGGGCTGAGAAGGGAGGAGGGGATGGTGCTCGGCTCCTGCCAGATGGAAAAGCCACACGCAGTGGAGACAGCCGGATTCTGAGTTCGCCTCCCGCCATCAAAATCAGATTTCTGCAGCACAGGAGATTCAAATTCAGGAAAATCAAAAGGCTCTGCTTTTCCAGTAATCTCTGAACAAGTGTCGTCTGTCTCCCGAGCCAATCCCCGGCCGCAGCAGCAGGTTCGAGTTACCCGGCGGCGGTGATTTCAGAGACCTGGTCCCCTCTCGCCTTCCACCCTCTCAGAATATCACAGCCCCGCTCGGGAGGAAAACAAAAGCCGAGCCGATCGGGCCGGGCCGAGCCCGGGCGGCCAGGGCCGCCAGGGCCGGGCGCGCTTCATTCCAGCTCGCGGGCACCGGCGGCGGGGCCCTAGGGAGGCTTGGGGGCGGGAGGCGGAGCACCGGGCAACAGGTCTGGCCCGGGGCCCCACTCGTCGGGGACCTGGTCCCCCAGAGCCCCTCGGCGGAGGAGAGGACGGGTCGCGGGAGGGCGCGCGCCGGAGCGAACAGTTCCACGCTCCATCTTGAGGCGGCGGAGGACGGGAAGGCCCGGGTGCGCGCTGAGGGACGGCTCGGGCGCGCAGGCCGGGGACCCCGGGCGGCCAGTGTGTCCCCTCAGGGCCCGCCCGGCGCGCGGGGCTCGATACGCCCTCCCGGACGCCGGGCCCGACCGCGAGCGGGCAGCAAGGTGACAGGAGGCGGGAAAGGGACACAGTCGGGAAGGGGGAGACCACACGCCCGCTCACCTCAGACACCACGGGTCGTCTCCACCTGCCCCACGGCACAGTAGGAGCGCCAGCCGCGGACGCCACCTCCCGACTTGTGGGCTCCAGGCCGGACAGAGTGTGACACGCCGCAGCCGCCGCGGGGCCGGACGGGCGCGCGCCTCTACAAAACGACGCCTCGCGGCCCCTCCCCGCGCGCCGCGCCCCGCGCCCGCGTCGCCCAGACCAAAGCCCCGCCCCTTATCCGCAAGCCCCGCCCCTATAGGCCCCGCCCCCTTCCCGCCGGTCACAGCCTTTCCCCAGCCGGCCCTTCGCGGCCCCGGGTGAGGCGACCCCGGCCCTGAGCGCTCCCTCGGTACCTTGCGAGCCTCGGAGAAAGGAGACCAGAGGTGCGAGGGAAAACTGACAGGCCTGCACCTAGGGGCGCCTATCAGCCCTCCACCCGGCTCCCCGTTTCCTGCCAAGTGTTCCCAGAATGCGGGCTGTCACACCCGTCGGCCTCTCGGGGCTCCCTGCGTGTCGGCCTCCGCCGAGAAGTCCTCGAGAACGAGTTGGAAGGCACTGCCCATGCCGGGCCGGGCCGGGGGGAACCGCATCTGCTCTCCAGGAAAGCGCCGAGGGTCAGTACCCTCAGGAGAGAACCCGGGGTGAGAAAAGCCTTTTATTCGTGTAAGTGGCTGCTGCGCCACTTGGAGCAAAGCCCAGGTTTCTGTCACGCCGCCGCCGCCGCCGCCGCCTCACCCCGCACCCCGCCCCCAGCTCCGCGGAAAGCTTTTGTAAAGGAACTGGAGAGGACACGGCGGCAACCTGCTCCAGCCAGGGGGCGGGGTCGGCCTGCATTTCGCTCCCACGGCAACCCTAGGGGCTGTGCGTTCGGGGGACTGCATGCCGCCTGCCCGGAAGCCCGAGGCTCAAGGCGGATGCGGCTTCCTCCTCCCCGGTGCAAGGGGAGAAGCGAGAGCGTGACCTTCCCGGCTGACCCCTATTGAAAGCCCCGTGATGTCCGACCCCAAGCAGCACTGAGAGAGGAGGAACCCACGCTGAGGAGGAAGTCCTGGACAGAGGCATGGGTCTTAAAGGACGCAGTATTCTGTGATCTCATTCAGCGTCGCCCAGATGTGCAGGCACGGTTAGGTGGTAATGATGTTCCCTCGTATCCGGGATCCGTGTTCGTGATCTGAAAAAGACACACCTCAGTCGGCCCCCGCCTCAGATCGCTCTTTTCACCTGTTAAAAAACAAGCGATATAGTCACAGATACCAAAGAATGCGGCCAAGACGATAGGATGAACTACTGAAAGGAGACAAAGAAAATCATACCTAGAAATTGTACTTTTTATTTTTTGGTTGATTTGTTTTTGAGATAGCGTCTCACTTTGTAGGTCAGGCTGGCCTTGAACTTTCTTATACACAAGCAATCCACCGGCTTCGGCTTCCCATTTGCTGAGACCACAGGTGTCTACCTCCACACCGAGCCTTAAAAATTGGACTTAAAAAAAAAGACTACAATTGCCAGACCCAGTCGAAGTTATTCAGGGTGATCCACATCAACATTCCTTTGATTAACTTGGGCTATTTCTAGATCTATGACACCCAAAATTCCAGAATACTGTAAATTCACATTGGCTTACCTGACAGAGCAGAAACATGATCCTAAGATAAAGGAACAAGTTGAAAGAATTCAGAGAATGCTTAGATAATTCATTTCAGGGAGGAAAAAAAAAACTAGGCTCATATTTATGAAATGGGCCAGTATCCTTTTTGAGGGACTGGGCCACTTTTTCCTAGGGTTACCAGGCCCTCAAGAGAAGCAAAAGTGTCCCAGTTCTAGGAAATAATGTACCTGTCTCTCTTGAGGGCCCCCACACTATTTCTTTGAGTGTGTACTTTCAAATTTATCCCTAATAGCTGGGTGTGGTGGCCTATACCTGTAATCTCAGCAGGCAGCAAGTTAGGGCCAGCCTGAACTACATAGTGAGTTGAAGACTGGCTGAAAAAAAAAATTTTTTTTTCCCTAATAAGTACTTTTATACCTCTGCAGAAAGGTGTCCTGAAAATTTTTATCCAGTCAGCAAACTTGCACTTTATCCTACAAGTAGGGTGGGTTCAAGTGCTTTATCTTGGTAGAAGCTGCCTCAAACCCTGTCTGGCGACCCCTCCTAATAATGAGTTATAACCTTTTCTGCTTTTTCTGTTTTTCCTTCTACTCATTCCGCTGGCCATATCTGTATTAAAAATATCATTGTGAGGGGCTCGGGATTTAGCTCAGCGGCATAAGCGCCTGCCTTGCAAGCAGGCAGACGTGAGTTCAATCCCTGGTACCAATAAAAATGGAAAAGACAAAAAAAAAAAAAAAAAAAAAAATATATATATATATATATATATATATATATATATCATTGTGAGCCAAGAGAGTGGTGCATGCCCCAACTACTAGCACCGAGGAGGCTGAGTCAGGATGATTGTCCATAGTTTAATCCCCATAGCCATGTTGCCTGGCTACTTAGTGAGTTCAAGCCCAATCTGAACTACTGAATTATACGTACTGAGACCCTGTCTCAAAAAAAAATATGTGTGTGTGTATGTTCATTATGTGTTAATTGGCATTAGTTTTCACTAAGAAAAACTGCATTCCAATCTCATTTATCTGTACTACTGAGTGTTTAGCACCCCCTTCCATATTGTGATCAAGGTAGAGCCATAAAAGTCCCAGGGCTTCCACCGGGATGGTGACAACTCAGTCCCACAGCAACGCCAGGGTTAGGCCTAAAGAAATTGCTAAGCACTACTGCAAAATAAACACATTTTGTTTTTGGATGGGTTCACTGCTTTTACGGGTCTGTTGCAAAAGCTTGAGGATAGCTCAATTGCCTAAACTTTGGAAGATGAAAGTGAAGTAGAAAACCAAGAAACAGGTTAGGTGTGGTGATACATGCTTATAATACCACCACTAGGAAGGCTGAGGCAGGAGGATTGCTGTGAGTTCAAGACTAGCTTGGCCTCATAGTTTAGGACCAGTCTGATCTGCATGGCAAGACGCTGTCTCAAAAAACAAAAGGAGAATAATGCAAAAATGTACTGGTTTGGGATTAACAGTGGGGAGGGGTGGGACTGAAGAACACTTGTGTCTAAGAAACCCTGATGTTGGGGTTTGTTTTTTGTTGTTTTCTCTCTCTCTCTCTCTCTCTCTCTCTCTCTCTCTCTCTCCTCTCTCTCTCTCTCTCTCTCACACACACACACACAGAGAGAGAGAGAGAGAGAGGGTCTCGCTATGCAGTACAGGCTGGTTTTGAGCTCACTTTGTCACTCAAGCTAGTTTTGAACTTGCAGCAGTCCTCCTGCCTCAGCCTCCTGGGTGCTGGAATTTCAAGTGTATACCACCACACCTGGCTGATGTTATTTTGTTTTGTTTTGTTTGCACCTGCAATCGAATTTGTGACCTCATGCTTGCCAGGTAGGTGCTCAGGCACTGTGCTACTGAGCTATATCCTCAACGCTGATGTTCGTTCTTTGAAGAGATGGTTTTATTTGTTTGTTTGGGGGGGGGCTTGGGCGGTACCAGGGATAGAACTCACAACCTTACACTTGCCAGGCAGGTGTCTATGCTGCTGAGCTAAATCCCTGGCCCCAAATGGTTTTCTTTCTCACTTTTTTGGTATTGGGGATTGTACACAGGCTTGGCCCTAAGGTACATCTTCAACCTCAATTTTTTGGGGGGGCAATCCTCCTGCCTTCACCTCCCAAGTGCTGAGATTACAGGCATGTGCCACCACACTCAACATGGCTTTGAATTGCCCTCAAACAGCGATCCTCCTGCCTCAGCCTCTGAATGCTGGGATTACATACATGCACTACCTACTGCCATGCCTGGCTCATCTTTTTTTTTTTTTTTTTTTAAACAAGGTCCTACCAAATTGCCCAGTCTGGGCTCCAAATTGTAATCCTTTTGTCTCATTCAACCTATAGAATAACAGGGATTACAATCATATCTTTTTTTTTTCTTTTTGTTTTTTTATCAGTACAGGGGATTGCCTCAAACCCATCCCCCCAAAGCCAAAAAAAAAAAAAAAAAAAAAAAAAACCCAAAAACCTAGAAACAAAGAAACAAAAAAAAAAAAAAAGTGAGTTCAAGGCCAGCCTTAACTGCATACTTAACTGCATAGTGAGACCCTGTCTCAAAGAGACTAAATTAATTTATTAATTAATTAAGTAGACAATAGTCTCTGTAAAATGATAGGTGTTTACTAGGTGTGGTAGAGCATGCCTAATATCCCAACACTCTGAAAGGCTGAGACAGGAAGATCTCACATTCAGACCCAACCTGGGCAACTTAGTGATTTAGCAAGACCCAATCTCAGAATAAAAATAAACACCCTCATGGTGGGATTACCACTCAGGAGGCTGATGCAGGAGGATTTCTTTCTTTTTTTTTTTTTTTTTTTTTGTCTTTGTCCTTTTTATTGGTACCGGGGATCAAACTCATGACTGCCTGCTTGCAAAGCAGGTGTTTATGCCACTGAGCTAAATCCCCAGCCCCAGATGCAGGAGGATTTCTGAGAGTCCAAGGTAACCCTGGACTCCAAAGTGAGTTCAAGGCTAGCCTAAACTACAAAATGTGACTGCCTCAAATGACAATAAATAATAAAAAAAATAAGTAAAAAGAAAAGGCTCCGTATGAACACCTTTGGTTCCATTTCTAGAACTTTGAACAAACTACATAAAAGGATGGCAAAGACCAGGCTGGCTGAGCTAACCTACAGTCTGAGCTCCACAGGAAGATTCCTTGAGCCCAGGAGTTCCAGAGCCGCCTGATGACATAACGAAAACCTGTCTCAACAGAAAGAGTAGAATGCCCTCTGCCAACACTCCTTTCTCTAGAAGCAATTACAACTGGATGTGGTAGCACATATCAGCAATCCCAGCACTCCTTAAGCTGAGGCAGGAGGATCCACCCAACTTCAAGGCCAGCCTGGGCTCCATACTGAGTTTAAGGCCAGTCTGAACTAGGTAGCAAAATCCTGTTTAAAAAAAGAAGAAGAAAGACTATTGTAAATAACTATGTTTTGTCTGACTTATTTTTTGTTTTGTTTTGTTTTTGGTACCAGGGATCAAACCCACAGCCTCACATTTGCCAGGCAGGCACTTGTGCCACTGAGCTAAATGCCTGGCTCCTCTGTTGTGCCTTTAAGTTGTTCCATAAAACTAAGA